CCCCTCCGTCCCCTCCCTTCCCGGCCGACGCGGCGTGTCCCTTTTTAGGGCATTCTTTTCCTCCTGCTTACTCCATTGCGGGTGGGGCTGGGGCAGAGGGAGTTCTCCATTTCACCGGCTCCCGCCCGAGCCCCTGGCAGCCTCCAGCCCCCAAATCTCTTCTCTTTCTCCCCGGCACCTTACAGTCGCGTAAACAACTCCTTTGCTCCGGCTCCCGGTCCGCGGCCCCCGGAGGGCAGCCCCTTCAATCGCGTGAGGCCAGTGGGTTCACGGGAGGGGAGAGGAGGGGGAGTCCCGGAGCCCCTGGTACCCGGCAGTTCCCCCTCGGTCGTCTCTCCTCCCCCTCTCCCCGCTGCTAAGGCAGACGGCCCCAGGAGCCCTGGGTATTTTTAGCGTTGTGACCTGGGCGGCAGCTCTAGAGCCTTTCCCAGGAATTGGCGTCAGTGCCTCCCTTCTCCACTACCAGCCCGTGGCCACACCGGCTACCACACTTCCTCGGCCCGCTCGGGTGTGGGTCCCTCTGAGCTGCCCCAGCGCCTGTGGAGCTGGTCAGGGTCTGGCGTAACGCTGAATCCAGATGTGGCAGTTTACTGAGAATAACAGTCTGGTGCTCAAACTAGGAACTCCCGCTCCTGGTGATGGGCTCCGTGCAGAATGCCAGGAGAGACTGAGCGAATGGGGGTAAATGCGCAGGGCCTGGGCCGCCCAGAGCGCTGGTGTTCTAGAAAGCTCTCAACACGGGGGCTCAGGAGGCCTGGTCTGAACTGAACTGAGGACACGCACTTCCCAGCACTACTTACTGACTAGTAGACATGTGTCAGAGGAGGGCAGCAAATGAGCTGTTGCCATTCAGAGTAAAGATGGTTGTTCCCCAAATAGGTCACTTTCAGTGCCTTGTGTTTCAGGCATTGAGGAGGATTATGCCATTCCAGAGGGGGAAACTGAGGTCAGAAGTATGCTTTCCTAAGAGGCAGAGATACATACAGAAGTCAGGTCTGTGTCAAATCAAGAGTTTAGAGATGGTGGTGCTGGTGGTGATGGTGTGTGCTTGTAGAGAAGGGGTCGGGGAAGGGTGCTTTGCTTTATAGCCTTTGCGTTTTGAAGGATGGGGAGGAGCCAGTTAAGTACTGAAGAAGAGGATCTTCCATCCCACTGGCTTTTCCCTAGCTCTTTCTCTGACCTACAGGAGGATGCTGGGTTCAGTAAGTGGATAAAATATCTCTCCCAAATTTTGGGCAGGAGCAGCCCCCCCCCATCCTCTCAGAAGAGCAGGATATTCACAGCTGACCACTGGTTGCTTTCCCTGAACACAGACATCTTTTGCGGTGCCTGGAACTGGCTTCCCCTTTGTGGAGCAGGAGCAAGCCCCGCCCCTGCATAAGACTTGGAGTTTGTGGAAAGGGCTTTGTTTTAGAGAAGGGAAAAGAGGTAGCCAAGGCCAGAAGTGTCCAGCCTGAAACCAGAGGCCCTGCTGCTGGGATGCTGGCTGCAGTGGGGTTCCCTAATCCCAGGCCCCCACTGTCTTCTCACTGCACCTCACAGCTGTTCTTGTTCTGCTCCTCTACCCTCCAGGGGTTGATATGGACCCAAATCCCCGGGCAGCCCTGGAGCGCCAGCAGCTCCGCCTTCGGGAGCGGCAGAAATTCTTCGAGGACATTTTACAGCCAGAGACAGAGTTTGTCTTTCCTCTGTCCCACCTGCATCTTGAGTCCCAAAGACGTAAGTTCTGAGTTCTGAGGAATAGGATTGGGGTAGGATAGGGAGGCTGTCCTGCAGGTCCTGAATTTTGGGGTGATGTCCATTTTGTTTTCTGGGCCCAGTAAATATCTAACTTGGGATCTGACAGGTAACTATCGGCTCCATCCTCGGTCTTCCTCGCTTACACTCTTGATCCTCAGCCCCCATAGGCAGCATCTCATCCATGGAAGTGAATGTGGACACGCTGGAGCAAGTAGAATTTATTGACCTTGGGGATCAGGATGGAGCAGATGTGTTCTTGCCCTGTGAAGATCCTCCACCAACCCCCCAGACAGCCGGTATGGCCCTTTGCGCTGGGGACTTGGGTGGCTGGGCTCTGAAATGAGGCTGGGAGATTGGGCTGGGGAAAAAATACAAGGAAGGGTTGGAAGCTGAAAATTGCTGCCTGTTCTGATTTTATAGAAGTTGACTCTGAGGGGAAATTGGGTTATAGATCCCTGGGCCAAATTCTAGCAAAGGTCAGCTTCTTTCACTTTGTAATTTCACATTTATGAAGTTAATGTAATTATTATAATTAATATAAAATGCAGTTTTACTTTGGACAGCTGAAGCAGTTTTAGTCATTATAATAACATTAATAGTTACACAGCACTTTTTCTAGGTTCTTAATAATACTGTGCTAAAGTACTTTAAATGTTGGGCGTGGTGGTGCATGCTTGTAATCCCAGTACTTGGGAAGCTGAGGCAGGAGGATTGCTGAATGTGTGAGACCAGCCTGGATTACATAGTGAGTTCAATGCCAGCCTGCACTACAAAGCAAGACCCTGAATAAAAAAAAAAACAAAACTTTAAATATATTATCTTCACAGCGTCCTATCAAGGCATGTAGTATAATCTCTATTTTATAAAGACAGAAATTAAACTCAGAAAAGCTCAACCACAATAACCAGAAAGTGGCAAACCTGGAATTCAAACCATGCCTATCTGGCTCCAAAGCTCATATGTTTAATTTATAAGATATTCTGTAATTTTAAACAGGTACTACTTACTGAGTCTACTATCCCAGATACTTTATAAGCAGCCTTATATTCCCCAAACCTTTGGGAATACAGATAACTTTTTTTTTTTTTTTAATGAAAGGAGCAGATCCTTGAAAGGGAAAATTACTCTCCTGGAGCTACTCCACAGTAGCTTGAATTAACTGACTTGATTCTAGAGCCCAACCTTGGTGTAGTAAAGTGGAAGGAGCTGGAGCCAGGAGATTGGAGTCCTAAAGCTGGCTCTCTGCTGGACTGGCAAAATGATTTTAGACAAATACTTGCCCCCCTCTGGGCTTTAGTTTGTCTGGCCAGATTAATCTCTAACAGTCCCCTGAAGCTCTGTTTGTAGCCCTGACTAGCTCTTCTCTCTGGGCAGGGGTCGGTGACCATCCAGAGGAGCTGAGCCTGCCAGTGCTCACACCAGACAGGACAACATGCCGGACTTCCTCCTCGTCCTCAGATGACTCCACCAACCTGCACAGTCCGAATCCGAGTGAGGGTGGAGCAGACACACCCTTGGCACAGTCTGATGAGGAGGAGGAGGCTAGGGGTGATGGAGGAGCAGAGCCCAGAACCTGCAGCTAGCAGAGGGCCCCTCTTGCAGACTAACCAAGACGGCTGTTCTCGAAACCCTAGACCCAGCCAGAGCCCTTCGGGAGAAGACAAGACACTTTGCTTGCAGTGGGCACCAAAGGGAGGGAAAGTTGCTGGGATGGTGTACCTCTCTGAGAATTAACTTATTCCTGCTTTAGTGCTAACCTTTTCCTGCTGCAACCTTCCCACCAGTTTTTGGCTTACTCCTGAGGTAGGAATTGCAACTGAGGAGATGGAAGATGAGGCAGGACAGGATGCCACTGCTTCCGTAGTACGCCTCCCTCGCCCACACTGTCCCGTAGGCTTCCAGTAGTCTCTTAAACCAGTGTGTCTGAGTGGATGTGAATTTGTAAGCACTCTTAATGAGGTGGTACTCCAATTATTTTGCCTTCTTTCATCCTTTTTGGAAAAGGGTATGGTATAAATAATAAAAAGTAGTAACATACCAGCCATTCCACTTCATTTTTCATACCACAGATATCAAATCCACCATGTCTTTAGCTCTCTAACCAACATCATATCCCCATCACTCATTTACTGTTTTCCAAGAAATATTTATCGGACATCTTTGCTAGGCATTTGGAATATAGATAGCTCTAAGCAAGACAAACTGTATCCCTCTCTTCCTGAGGTTTAGTGTCTGTCGAAGAGAGTATCAGTACCACAGCTTGCAGTGTAATAAGCAGCATGAAGAGGCACTACTCTGATATCAGAAAACAAGGGTATCTTAACCTAGCTGATAATGGTAATTGAGCTGATTTTTAAGTAGAAATCTCAAAAATGATTAGGAATTAATCAGGTCAGGCAAGGGGTTGGGGGGACATGATTCAGGCAGAAGGAGCTGCTTGTAAAGACTTTAAATGGAGATACAGCTGTAGGAGCTGAAAACATGTAGTTTGGCCAAACGATTGAATTTGAAAACATAAAAAGAGGTAAGACTGACAAAGGTCAAGTTGTGAAATGTTTTAAAGCCTGTATTAGGTTTCAATTTGACTGCTAGTAAAATACCATGACACAAGATATACATGTATGTATTTCCTCATACAGAAGAAATGCAAAATACATACTGTGAAGTTCTGTAGTTACTAAGGGTTGTTTAGGCTTTTGTGTTTTTTTTGTTTTGTTTTCTCTTTCCCAGTACTGTGAACTGAACCCAGGGAATGGTGAGTTACATCCCCAGCCTTTTATTTCTTTAGTTCAAGTCAGGGTTTCCTATGTTGCTCAGGTAGGCCTCAAATTTGTAATTTTTCCACAGTCTCCCAAGTAGCTGGGATTACAGACATGCTACCCTACCCAGCTTTTTTGGCTCAGATATCCAAGGCATATGACTTGCATTTTATTGAGAGGTTATGGCAGAATGGCTGTCATAGCCTAAGCCATCAAGACTCTCAAGTGGGCAAAAAGCAGAATGGGGCGGGGTAGGCAAAGAGCATAGCTTGATGTTTATTCCCACTTTAAGAACCATTTTTAGAAGTTCCAAGAAATAGCACCCCCTTTCATGTTATTGGCCAGAACTTGGTAGCACAGGAAACGTTTCATTTGTAGACACTTACAGACACAAGAACAAAGTATTATCTAGAAGAAAGGAAATTCTGTTTTTTGGAAAGATAATAAGCCTTTCAAGTCACTGATTTGCCAATGTATGATCTCTGTACTATTAGATCTCTGAGAAGCACTTTGAGCACTGTGAATGGGATGCTGGGATAATACTTTGGTAGATACTGTTACCTGATAGAATCAGGGTTTGTTACTAAAGAACAAGAGGATAGTAGTCACTGGGTAGATTATTAGCAGTTTACACATCAGAGACCATATTAAAAAGTTCAAACTTTATTGGGAGTAATGAAAGGATTACAAGTATCTGGATTTTTTTTTTTTTTTTTTTTTTTTACAGGGTCTGGCTATGTAGTTCAGGCCAGCCTTGAACTCAATATGTATTCTAGGCTGGCCTCAAATGCATGGTGATCTTCCTGACTTAGCCACCCATGTGCTGGGATTACAGGCATGTTCTGCCATGCCTGGCTTGGATTTGCTTATTTAAAAGCCAATGTTGGCCTCAGTGTAGAGAGTATACTGAAGGATACGTTCAAGACAGACAGATAACACAGTAATCTATGCAAGAGGTAATGTTTGCCCAGAAGACTGGTGATTAATTTACTTCTGTTGAAGCAGCACACAAACAATAAAGAAACATTATTCATTCAATAAAAATTAAATGTTGGGATTTAGCATATGGAAGACATTGTGGTTGTAACAGCCAAAAACAAAAAACAAACTGCTATCACAAAGGTTTACAGTGTAATGGGGACCCAAATGTAAAATCTCAACTATGACTGGTATTAGGAAGTAGCCTATTCAGAGATCACCAGGTGTTTCCCTTGAGGAATTGTCATTTGAGCGAAGATCTGAATGATTAGTAGGAATAAACTGGAGGAAGAATGGTTGGGAGACTTCTTGTGCAGCACTGGTAGGAGGCAGCCAGATGACTGCAGCCGCCTAGCTAAGAGATAACAGGTGAGAGTGGAGGTAGGGAGATGGAGAAAAGGGAAAAGAACTTTAGAAGGCAGATTCCAAAAGGTTTCATAGGTGTGAGAGAGGAAAGTCAAGGATGCTGCCATTGTTTCCACTTCCTGCAGCAGGCTGGTTTAAGAGAGCCTTTGACCCAGATTGGGAGCCATGTTTGGGAATAAAGTTATAAATTTATTTTAGACATGCTGATTAGGTACCTGGATTCAGAGGTGTGGAATTTGGGTGAGATGATTGGGCTAGAAACAAGCAGATAAGTTGCCAATGTAGAGGTGCTAAGTGAAGCCATATGTGTGAATGAACTTGCCCAAGCAATGTTGAATGGAGAGGTTATAGGATCCAGGCTTAAGAAACATAAACTCATTTTTCACAAAAAAATCATTTCACCTTCCTCCCTTCAAGTATCCCATGGGATTAATGATCAGCAGCCTACATCTTAAAGATTTGTGCTACTCAAGCTGAGCAGCAGAGTTGCAGGTCTTCCAATAGTCCCATCTTGCTTCTCCCTCTGCAGGAAGCCATTGTAAGTGACTGTTCCTAAGTGTTCTTCCTAAAGATAGCGGGAAACTTGTGGGTGTTTCAGGGAAGGAGTTTGCCTTTTTCTCAGAAGCTTGTGCAATGAATATCTTTTGTCCAAAATCTCTGGGTCTAGGCTGAGATCATCTACTGAGATTGTCTCTCTTCTCTTGTGACTTTTCTCCTTCCTTCTTTTAGAGTAGCAAGGCTTTACTTCCTGTTTGACTGGCTGAGTCTTCTCTGGGGCTGCAACCCATGATCCCTGCAGCTCTGCTCTCAGGATTACCCTCTTCACTGTAGGGTGAATGATGGGAACCTGTACTGGCTTGGTTGTCATCAATGTGCCAGTAAATCTCTTAGCACCCCAGTTAGACAATGCTAAGATCGTGGAGTAGGAACAGGGAGTCTGACTAGGGAGAGCCCTCTTGAAAACTATAATTGTTTGTGAATCTCTAGGAAGCCTTCAGTTCAGTGGCTGTGAGCCACTGATGATGGGAAAAGTCTTGGGTCATCTGAGACCACAGGACCACTTCCTAGTTGGGACAATGACCTCTTCTCCTGCCAAACCACAGGAGGTTGGCTAGCCTTCAGAGGCACCATTTCCAGTGGACTGTTTTGAGCCCACACAGTGCCCATGCAGATGGGAGGGATGGTTTGAGCTAATTCTGAGTCAGAGAGCATAGCTTTCAGTCTCCAAGTTACAGTGCTGCATAGACTTGTCACTGGGTATACATCCACACAGACACTGGGGGAGGAAAAGAAGACAGGTTCATTTTTGTAGAACCCTGTGCTTTGAAGGAAAAATGAGAGACTACAGCTTAGAAGATTCACACAATAGCACTCTCTAGAAATGAGAGAATTTGACCATGAGCAGCATGGTAATATGGGAACAACTCAGAATTATGCTATGTTTTTGAGTACTGGCAGCTGGATTGAACCCAGGGCCTTGTGCATGCTAGGCAAGTGCTTGAGCTATATCCTCAGCCTTTTAATGATTTTGAGACAGGGTCTCTATAAACTGTCCAGCCTGGCGTTGAACTTGTGACCCTCCTGCCTCGATTTCCTGAGTAGTTAGGACTGTGGGCATATGCCAGCATGTCTGGTTCATTTGCTCATTTAATTAAGCATTACTGAATATGTCTATTATATGCTAGCCACTTGCATAGCAATGGAATACTAAGGAGACTAGAAGCTTTTCCAGGAGCAGACATAGCCAGATAATGGAAATTTACCATAAGGAGAGCTGTGGCAGAAATGCACAAAAGACTGTAGCCCACTAGAGAGGCAGAAGGTTCACTGGAGGCATCTGGGTCTTGAATAGGAACAGGCAATTTCAAAAGGAAACAAAGCGTAGAAGCACAAAATAATCATAATCATGGTAGCTGCTTTTTAAAAAATATTATTTCCAAATCTGTACTGTAGACTCTAGTCCTGGCTCCATCACTCACTGGCATCTCAGAAAATGACCCCAGTTTCTGTACTTACATTTGCTCATCTATAAAATGTAGACGATAGTGCCTGCCTAAAGGGTAGCTGTAATGAATGTTATTAAGCATTTGGTACATTTCAAATCCTTTAAGCATATAATATCTGACAATAACTTTGAAAACTTTCCATTTTAGAGATGGGGGAAAGTGATTCTTTGCTTAGGCTCATATGAATTAAAGGCTGGTTGTAGGAATTTGAATCTATGTCTGACATATAGCTCATAGCCTTCCAACTACTCCATGTCTAATGGGCAGGAACATTCAATGTAGATAAAAGGAGAACATGAGATAAAGACAGCTTTTTGACACTTCCTTTCTGGGTCATTGGAGTCTATCTTGGCAGACCTGCTAGACATAACAAACAAAAACAACAAAAAACCCCCAAAGACCAGATTTAAACATCATTAAGTACCAGGGAAATGCAAATTAAAACCATGGTGAGCTTCTACTACATATACGTCAAAGTAGCTAAAACTACAAAGTGCAAAAAATTCAAAATACTAAATGATGCTGGAGAAGCTGGAGCTCTCATACATTGCTGACAGAAAAGTAAAATGACATACTTTGGAAAAAGGTCTGATGGTTTCCTTTTTTTTTTTTTTTTTTTTTTTTTTTTTTTTTTTTTTTTTTTTTTTTTTTTATTTTTTTTTTTTGTCTTTGTCTTTGTCTTTTGAGGCTTGCTATGTAATTCAGGCCGGTCACAAACTATGTAGCCCAGGCTAGCCTCAAATTCACAGCAATAGTCCTGCTTCAGCCTCCTGAGTGCTGGGATCACAGGTTTGTGATACCATGTCTGGCATGGCATTTCTTATAAAACTAAATATGCATTTCCTCTTTGACCCAGCAAATCTACTTCCAAATATTCGCCTAAGGTATATGAAAAACATGTCTATAATGCAGCTTGTACGAATAACAGTTCATAATGACCAAAGATTTCAAAGATCCCAGATGCTTATCACCAGAATGGATAAAACTGTGGCTTGTTCATATAATGTTATACTGCATGGCAAAAAAACTGTTGGTACACGCAAGAACATGGATGATTCTCAACATCCTGTGAAAAGCCTTACACAAAATGTATACATATTGCATTATATTTCATTCATATTTAGTTCTCAACAGATCAACTTACCGTTGGAAAAAAATCAGAATATTGGTTGCCCGGGGAAGGTATTATGGGGGCAGGGATTTGCTGAGAAGAGACTTTAGGTTACTGTTGCTTTCGGTGCTGGGTGTCAAACCCAGAATCTCAGGTATTCTAAGCAAGTGCTCTACCACTGAGCTACATCCTCAGTCTCAGGTTTTCAAAATGTTCTGTATCTGGCTAGGAGTTTGGATTATGCAGGTGTATGTATTTGTCAAAACTCAGTGAATGTGCAGTTCGGATTTGTGCGTTTCATTGTATGTGAATTTTACATCAAAAGACATGAAAACAAATACTGAACTTTATAGACATGCCGAGCTATTCAGAAAGAAGTGTACCAATATCTGAAATTTACCCTGAAATGCATTAAAATATCAAGTGTATTACAAAGTGTATTCATAGACGGATATGTGATAAAACTCAAGATTAGTAAATTGTTTTAGTGGAATCTAGGTGATGGGGAAAATTCATTTTGCTGTACGTTTGAAATTTTTCCTAATAAAAGGGCCAGTTATTTGGGGCATTTTGCAGAAAAGCTCTAGTCACCAGAGGAGCTAGCCTAGTTCAGGCCCAAGCAAATCAAGACACTTACAAGTTGAAGGCGGCACAAGCCCACTAGAGTGACCTCACAAAAGTAACTGACCTCTTTAAATCTGTTCAACTATCTAGTGGCAATGCCTGCCCTCTGAGTTACTAAACACTTTCTAGTGAGTGGAAACACCCCAAGGTGGTCGGTTCTCAAGCCCCCCCCCACCCCGTTACTCCGCCATTCCTTTCCCCCTTCTTCCAAAGCCCCTGAAACCCACCAGTCCCCTGGATATTCGCCACAATCTGTCCCAGCTCTTGTTCTAGTAAAAGCGCTCAGTTTCCGGGACGGCAGCGGAAGTCACTGCTCAAAGCCTCTTCCCATTGGATGTCGGTCGTTCGGGGGCGGGCAAGTCGGGGGCGGAAGCGGCCGCAAGCATGGCGGCAGAAATGCCGCTTGCTCTGCTGGGGCTGCTGCTCCTAGGGCCGGTGGGCTGGAGCCGTGCAAAGTCTCCACGCGACAGCTTTCGGGAGGAGCTTGTCATCACTCCGCTGCCTTCCGGGGATGTTGCCGCTACCTTCCAGTTCCGCACGCGCTGGGATTCGGAACTGCAGCGGGAAGGAGGTGAGATGGAGAGATCTGACCGAAGAAAGATTTCCGTGGTAGCCTGCCGCGGTTCGGGAAG